CAGCAGTGCACAGATGGGATGTGACAATCTGTGACACTGATCCCCTGGCATCTTTGGTGATGTGCTCCACTCTTGGATGGAACGTGCATGCTCTTGTCCTGGAAGCTAGCTCCCCAGCCATGTCCCTTCTGCCCAAGGCCCTGCTCCTCTCCCATTCCTTCTATTCCCCTTTGGATTCCAAAGCCCTTCTCAGTCCCCATTCAGTAGCCAGAGAGCCCCAGCCAAACTGTCCTAATCCTCAGCTCTTTTCTAGTCTTGATACTTGGGCTGCCAGCTGGCCAGCCTCAAGCTGCCTCCTGGCCCAAGTCACCACAGGCCTCCCTTGGCCACTAACCCAAGTTCCAAGACACTGGCCTGAGCTGTGCTACTCCTGGCTTTAGTCTGTGTTGTTCCAATGATTTTGCCTAAAAGTTAGATCCACTTAGGAATTGCTGTGATCACCACTGAACCACTAGAGTGCAGGGCCGGATTAAGGGGGGGCTAGCCGGGCAGCTGCCCGGGGCGCCAACCTATGGGGAGCGCCTGATTGAAGTGGTAAGGGGTGCCATGTGCCCGGGGTCGGACCGCGCATGCGTCACGCGCCTGCAGCCCAGGGCGCAACTACAGCTTGGTCCGGCACTGCTGGAGTGTCTGCATATACCACACTGTCCTGACATGTGAAAATTCACAGGTCATGCTAGTGTGTGAGCACCGTGTAGCGAGGATATTGGATTTGATCCACCACTCACTGACATCAATGAAAAACCTTCCATAAAGAATGCAAACAACTGCAAGAGATGAGAAAACCATGGTTAGCAAACATAACATGCTTGTCTATTTTTAACTTGTGAGTGTAATGCCACCCTCTTCTCTATCCAAATTTTGCGTGTATCATGTTAAAAATTCAGTCTGAAATCATACAATAAAATGCGGGCAGGGAAGCTGAGTTCCACACTCCCTTTCTGCTGTTGGAAGGCATCCCCATCTTTCTTGCACCCACCAATTTATTTCTTGTCACCCTATTCCCTCATTACCCCCCATTTTTGCCACGATCCTGTTTTCTGGCATCTTTAGTCTGAAGCAGGGAAGCAATATCCTTTCAAGTGTGTGGCACTGCCTTATCCTTGCAACCTAGAGCAAATACAGATCTCAAAATCTTCTTCTGCCTCTGTACAGAAGGCTGGCAATAATGCTTTTCCCCTTACTCTCCAACTCCCCTTCCTATGCCCTGTGAATGGGACAGACTGTAGACAGCAGTTGGTAATCTCCCACTCCTCATAAAGTGTGAACTCTTTGGTTTTGCTGAACAGCATATCAGCCCTCCTAGCAGCAACAGCAGACTTGGCAAAGCTATGATTTTGGCTTAAATGATTCATGAGCAGCAAGGGAAAATTGTCCAAAATCACATTACAGCAAGTAATTTGTGAGAATTGGCTTGGCAAGGCTACACTTTCTGTCAGTAAAATGAAATTTGGTGTTTGAAATGGGACAGCTCAGTGTAAAATGAGAAAAGGCAATGGAGTGGCAGGAAAGAGTAAGTTTAGTTAAACAAAAAAGAATTCAAGGGATACAGCAAATCTAAATGCATTCTTTCTGCATCTGTACAGTTAGAATTGCTGTTTTATGAGCCTTAATCTTCATTTTTTGTACTTGGCTGCAAACGGTGTGCTTTTTTGCAGCTAAGTTTTGGATGATGGCTTGTAGACCCCTGTAAACAGATTGAGAACAGGCACGTGGAACAGACCCTCCAGCCCTGGGCTGCTGCCACCTACAGGGCTTCCCCCAGATGGAAAACAGAAGCTGCTCTGAGCCAAGCTAGCGTTGGGAGGCTTTCTGACCTATCCACTGGGGGTAGGAGCGCTGGAACAATGTTTATAGCAAGCTGTCCTGTATGCAACAGAAACCACCTCAAGGCAAGGGGTGCACGAGCGCCCCCAGCCCCAGGCCTGTGGCAGGCAGTGCAGGGGAAGAGGTGAAACGGGGGAGCCTTTAACCCAAATTCTGGTGGTGGGGCTGGCGCACCCAAAGGGAGCTTCATTTTATGACTTAGAAGGCGGGACCCATAATCTGCTCCAGGCTTCCCCCGTGCACCGCCAGCGCAGCTGCTTCTTGCTCATGTGTGCGCACCGGCGGGGAGCCCGCGTTCAGGCATCTAACAACTCTGAGGCTGTGACCCTTCCCCCAGATAATGGGGGCAAATGGGGGGGGAGCCTTGTGACCCCCACCCCCCTCAGACTATCGCAGGCCGCTGCGGCAGGTGCCAATGGGTTGCACCGGGCGGTTGCTGGGGGGGGG